GCTCTTTTTTCTTTTGATGAGACAATCAGGGTTAAGTGTCTTGCCCAGGGTCACAAAAGCTAGGTGTGTCAAATGTCTGAGGCCAAAATTGAACTCGGGTCTTCCAGACCCCAGGACCAGTGCTCTATACACTGCACCACCTAGCTGTGCCCTCCCCCTTTCTGGTGCTCATTTTCCTTTTAATAATGTGTGTACACAAGCCTAGCCCAGGCAAGGCCCCAGTGTCCTTAGCGAGGGACTGGTTCAGCAAGGGACACTGCCGAGTTATTCTGAGAAGGCCCAAGTGACCAGGGATGAGAGCAACTCTAACCAAGGCACAGAGCATGTGGCAGAACCATCTCCAGAGCCCCTGGTGGCTCTCCTGGAATCAAGGGAGGAAATGCAGGGAAACAGAGGATGGGGTGGGCTCACATTTAGAAGGGGAAGCCACACAGATGAAAAGGGAGGCAATGTGGAGGTGGGCGGGAGGGACTTCCAGAGTCTCTGGTTGTCCCCTTCAGAGGCCTCCATCCTATTTTCTCCCGTTTATCTTACTCTCTCTCTCCTTTCACCCTGTCCATCATCCTCAAAAGTGTTTTGCTTCTGACCAGCATCTCCCCCAATCCCTCCTCCCTTCCATCATCCCCCACCCCTAACTTCCCTGTACGGTAAGATCGGATTTCTATACCCAACTGTGTATGTTATTTTCTCTTTGAGCCAATTCCAATCAGAGGAGGATTCAAGCACTCCCCCACCTCCTCCATCTTGCCCTCCACTACAAAAGCTCTTTCATCCTCTTTTATGTGAGATAATTTACCCCACTCTACCTCTCCATTTCACCTTCTCTCAATGCATTCCTCTTTCTCACCTCTTCATTTTATTTTTTTAGATAATCATATTTTCTCTTCAATCTGGGAGGTCTGGAATTTGACTCTAATATTCCTGGGAGTTTTCCTTTTGGGATCTCTTTCAGGAAGTGATCAGTTGATTCTTTTAATTTCTATTTTACCCTCTGGTTCTAGAATACCAGGGCAGTTTGCCTCGATAATTTCTTAAAAGATCATGTCTAGGCTCTTTTTTTTTTTTTTAATAATGACTTGCAGGTAGCCCAATAATTCTTAACTTATCTCTCCTCAATCTATTTTCCAGGTCAGTTGTTTTTCTCATGAGATAGTTCACATTTTTTCCTAGTTTTCCATTCTTTTGACTTTGTTTTATTGTTTCTTAATGTTTCACAAAGTCATTAAGTTCCACTTGCCCAATTCTGCTTTTTAAGGAATTATTTTCACTGAGTTTTTATACCTCCTTTTCCATTTGGCCAATTCTACTCCACCCACCCCGCCCCCGCTTTTTGGTGAGGCAATCAGGGTTAAGTAACTTGCCCAGGGTCACAGAGCTAGTAAGTGTCAAGTGTCTAAGGCCAGATTTGAACTCAGGTCCTCCTGACTCGAAGGCAATTAGGGTTAGGGTTAGCTCTATCCACCGCACCACTTACCTGCCTCCCAATTCTACTTTTTAAGGAGTTCTTTTCTTCAGTGAATTTTTACACATCTTTTTCAATGTGGCCAATTCTGCTTTTGAAGCATTCTTCTCTTCATTGGATTTTTGTGCCTCTTTTACCATTTGGCCTATTTTATTTTTTAAGGTGTTATTCTCTTTGGTATTTTTTTTTCAGTGCCTCCTTAACCAAGTTGTTGACTTTTTTCATGATTTTCTCGTATCATTCTCATTTTTTCCCCCAATTTTTCCTCTGCCTCTCTTATTTGATTTTTAAAATCCTTTTTGAGCTCTTTTGGGAAATCTTTTTGGGCCTGAGACCAATTCTCATTTTTCTTTGCAGCTTTGGACATAGCAGTTTTGACTTCGTTGTCTTCTGAGTTTGTGTTTTGATCTTTTCCCTACACCACAATAACTTTCTATGGTCAAGTCCCCTTTTTTTTCTTTTGTGGTTGTTCACTCAGTTTTATAGCCTATTGCTTGACTTTTAACTTTATGTTAAAGTTAGGCTTTGCTCCCAGGTTCCAGGGGGCGCTGTCCAAAGCTTCAGGTTTTTTGGGCAGGTGTTTTAGAGCTAGTTCTGGGGGTCTTTAAGTTTTTAGTACTTTCAAGGTTGTATGATCCAAGGAGAGGTATGTTTACTACTCTCCTGATCTATGACCTGGCTACCACTCTTTTCTGTCCTGTAACTGTGACCAGAGTCCCCACTCCCCTGCAGCTGCAAGCTCTTTGTGCTAGTGCTCCTCATCACCCTGGGTCTGTGATCCAGAACTGCAACCCTGATCAGTGTATGGGCAGTGCAACAGAATTCTGCACTGAGTGCCAGCAAAGGGATCCCTATAATCTCCTTCTGACCAGTCATTCTTCCTCCTTACTATCTGTGGGTGGACAGCTCTGGAAGACACTGCTGCTACTACTAACTGCTGCCAATTCAGTTACCTTCAAGGTCTGCTGCTGGTTTGCTATGGCACAGGTCATCTCTCACCTTGGTGCAACAGACCCTTTCTGCTGACCTAAGTTGCCTTGGGCTAGAAAACTGTTTCACCCTGTTCCTTTTGTGGGTTGTGCTGCTCCAGAATTTGTTTTGAGTTGTTATTTAAAGTTATTGGAGGGAAATTTAAAAGAACTCAGGAGAGTCTCTGCCTTTTCCTTCTTGGCTCTGCCTTCAATCTCTTCTTTAAAAAAAAAAAAGCCATAGTAATGCAAAACAATTACAATGTCTATGTTAAAAAAAAATGTGTTTCACTTTAGTGAAGTGATGGGAAACATGATTCATTAGTCATGATTTGCCATTGTATTGATCATAATTCATAATTTTTTCAAAAACTGCTTTTTCCTTCGTAAGGTAGTATTTGTAAAATTGGGTCTCCCTGGTTCTGCTCATTTCATTCATTCATATCTATTCAGACAAGTCATCCTAGGTTTCTCTGAGCCTGTCCCTTTGATCATGTCTAATAGCCCAACAATATTCCATTACATTAACATACTTCAGTTTGTTCAGCCATTCTGTCAACTCTTTTTTAAAAGTTAGCTATGTTCACATTTTCATTGGAGGTGGGCAGATGGGTAGAAAGGAGTATTTTTATTTTCCTATCTTAACTACCATGAGCAAATGCC